GGCAGGCGCGTGAAACATCAACTGAGGAGAATTTTGTTGCCTTTTGAATAAAAACTCGAGTGGAACAGACCTGAAGCCAGCCCCAAGGTGCTGCTCATCGCCATCCTTGCTGCAGCCGCTTTTGTTCCCATACAAACACACAATTTCAGGCCACAGATGGGAGGAAACGCTTGTTTACCCCGTGGTGTCAATGGAGGGGCTCTCCCTGTAATTACAGCTACGAGGCAAGGCGGCTCTGGAAACTTTATTGCAACTGCTCGGGATCCACTGCCTACACCTCAGCTGGGGTTGGGGTGGGTTTTTGTTTTTGGAAGTCTGGAAAACGGTTCATGCAGAACGTTATTGCCTCTCGTGGCTTAAGACCGCCCCGTGCAACGGTACACACCTACCCTCGGTGAAGCCATTCAAAATGGACTGAAAATGGGTTAAAGGATACGGGATCTCCCTTTAGGGCTATCAACTCAGGAATTCTTATCTCAATTATGAAATGTTGTGATGAAATTCTTTCCCCAAAACCCTGAAGACGACAGTTTTCCTTACTCCAGATCTGGCATTTCTAGAGGGAAAAAGAAGAGCATTAGTGGGGGGGTTTTTGGTGCTTTGTTGGGTTTGTTTGTTTTAGAAAAGCCCCCAGGAGCCCCGTTGTATCCCCAGGGTCACAGGAAAGACAACCCAGCCCTCAGCAGCTGAAGGTCTCCAGCCCCACCCAGAGCTCGGAGCCAGTTCTTCCCAAAGAAAATCTTTCCAGAGCCCCTGCGGCAAGTGCAGGAGTTGCTCCAGCAGAGCCAGCAGCAGGCACCGAGGGCCTGCGCACATGCTGCCGCTCTCACACCAAAGCCTCCCCAGCCCTGCGGCTGGCTGGGAAGGTCAAACTGGAATTTCACGCTCGTGTGGCAAGGCTTTTGCTAGATTACGTTGTGTCACACCGCCCAGGCGAGGCACTGGCATTAGCTCGCAGCCAGGATTTAGTGAGACTGAGAGGACAGAACATCTGCTGGCTCCGCTCAGGGCTCTGGCTCAGCCAGGAGCATTCAGCCCGCGCTCACCCTGCCACACGGAAACAAACGACAACACCAACTTACTTTCATCGTCGCTGTCTGGTGAGTCCTGGAAAGAAGAAGAAACATTAAACTGGAGCAGACTGTGCCTGAAGGGACTTTTCCCTCTGCCACCCCTGCCCCAGGGAGCGAGCTGCCATTGCCGAAGCCTCGCTGGAAGCCTGTTCCCCCTCCAGGTTCCATGGGATGCGGCAGGTTTGGCGGCGCTGGCAGAGCCTGCAGACCCGCAGAAGGGGCAGTCCCTGCGGGGGGAGGTGACACCAAGCCATCCAGGTACCACAAGCATGGACACAGCCCCCAGCTCCACGGCTCAGGGGGACCAGGGGACAGGGGCCATGTCACTCATCCAGGCAGGGTTTGGGGCAGCTCAGCAAGTGGCAACGAGGGCGTCGGGCGCTGCGCCAGCCCCACGCGGATTCACCACAAACGAAGCACTCACATCATCTGCCCCATCTACTTCTGGCAAGTCGACGTCGTCATCTCCACCCATGTTGTTCATCATCTGTTCCAGAGAGAGAACAGTCGTGTTACGGGGGGAAGCCAACCCACCGCGCTCTGCGTGAGCAAGGGGAGCGCTGCAGAAGCCTAAAACCAGCTCAGAACTGTTCTAGCCAGGAGCGGCCACTCGCTCGGGCCGCTCAGCTGCACCTCCACGGGAATTTCAAGGTGATCCTCCAAAACAAATGAAGTTGCCTTGCAACCCAACCCGTGCGCTGAGTTAGTGCCGCATCGACGACAGGACACACGTTCACTCCATCTCGCTGCCGTGCCAGCGGGCCACGGGCAGGTTAGACCTGGCAACGGCCGCGGCTCAGCAAACCCGCCCAGACTGGTGTCCAGGAGAGCCGCAGGAGGAACTCGTCCTGCAGTAGCCAGCCCCTGCTCGCCCCCACAGCCCAGAAGGAAGCCCCAGCCTCCAGGTCCTCCTCCTCCTGTACCTCGGAGAAGCGATCAAAGTTGGACATGTCTTCATCTGAATCATCCTCCCAGTCTTTCCAGTTGTTGAAGTCCACGCTGAGCCAGTTGAGCTGTACATCAACACGAGAAGTTATTTAAGGACAGGTAACAAGCTGTCGCTGTTGGGAAAGGAAGGGTAACGGGGAGCTACCGCTCTGATCAGCAGCACGGGGAGTGACCCACTAACTGCTACAGAATTTAAACATGACCCAAATATTGACAAAATTAAAAACCAGGGGAGGCAACAGGCACTGCCACCCCGGCCGCGGCACAGCCCAAACCCACCTTCGCCCTCTCTTTTGTTAACCGCGGCCACGCCTGACCAGACTCTCCTTTTCGTAAACAACACAAGATCGATCTGTCTGTTCTTTTATGCTTTGATTCCTGAAAAAGAGCAAATCCCTGTTAAATCACTATCACAAACTTCCTCAGGATCTGCTTGTATTAGACTCATTTGTCTTAAGTAACCAACTTAACTCTTTATCCTGAACAATACCCTCCAGAGGTGCTATGGGGGATCCAACTCTAGGCTCTCACGGTCTGAGGAGCAGTTTGCCCACAGGCTGGACAGAGCCCGAAGGCTGGACGGCATTTTTCAGGACACAGCATTAAGGACACAAGCAAGAGGAGTGTCAAGAGGATACTTACATTTGGATCAATATTATTAAAAAGGTCAATTTCGTTTAAATGTTTAAAGTTATCACTTCCTCCAAGACAACTGTTAGAGAAAAAAAAAAAGTCAGCATTTAGCACAAAACATCTCAGAGAACAAACACGCTTTGTGAACAGAACTTGCTTCAGAAAACCACCATCCCCCCAGCACCGGCGCAGCCTTTCCATGGCCTGCCCCCCTTTTGCGACGGCCCCGGCTGCTCACCTGAACGTAAGTTTGGATTTTTCAAAATTTACATTAACGTCTTTACTGTCTTCAACGCAAAATTCAACAAAGACGTAGTCCCTCCGGTCGTACCACTGGGCTGCCTGCAAACAGAGCAGGTCAGAGAAGCTCATGTCAGGTTTTGGATCCTTCACCAACCCCGAAAACATCCGAACCCTCGCCCTTCCATGCTGCAAGTGCACTGAGTGTTCCTCCCCTCCCCTTTCTCCTGACACACAGCTGGCAGCTTGATTTTTTTTTTAAATTGCATTTAAACTGAAAGACTTCTTCCCTCCCTCAAAAGCTGCATCAACAGCTGATTATTAATCATCTTTAAAAGGTGCTTAAGGCTGAAAAAAGCCACGAGGATAAAGAGGGATACAATGCACTGAGCGCGTAACGACCCCACAAAGCTCACACCGGTGTTCCTTGAATCTGCTCTCCAAACTGACGAGACCGAAATAAACGTCACAGCAAACCCAAATTCTGACAAACTTTTCAAGCTGAGCCCCCCCAGCCAATGGCAAAGTTCCAGTCCCCTCCAACAGCGGCACAGGCAGAGCTCAGCCTGCGTTCTGTCGCCCAAAGAGTTAAAACCCCAGAGCACAGCCATGGAAAAGCCACTTTCGGACACTGATACTGTTAGAAAAACCGAGCGTTCGACAGCTCTGCTCGGCGAGACTCAGCCGAGGGCAGCGCGGGGGTGAGAGCCGAGCAATCCCTGCTCTGCGCCCATGGGCTGGGACTCCCACGCTCTCCGGTATCCCACACACACCGCCGCAGGC